TTGATGTGTGGGTTTAGAGAGGTAAAATCTACAGAGAATAGGTAGGGTTAATATAAAGAGGGCTTTGCTAAAACAGGCAGCCTGCTCACTTCAGTATCTTACAAGGTTAGAAAGGAGTTAACTTATATGCCCTACTAATTGAGTTGGCATCAGATATTTTTCTCTTTTATTTGATTTTTAGTATTTATTTTCTTCATTATATTGTTATTACCCATTAAACAGATATCCCTTAGAATGTATTCATATAGAATGATATGACAAATAAGATAAGGTGACAAAAGCATGGCACTATATATTAAAAATGGATTTTTCTGCTCTGGGGTTACAGTAGTTTTTTTTTTTTTTTTTAATTGTCTGGGAGGAGGGAAGGGGCGTGGACGTTTCTATTTTACCAAATTAAATATTAGAAACACGACAATTTTGTGTGAAAAAATAAGATATTGTGTTTGTTCTTTTAGCCGTAGGCAACTACTTTATGATTTTGGTATTTCTCAATGCTGGTGTGAGCCTCGAAGCCATAAAGAAGAGCATGTTTGTTACCATTTGCGTGAAAATGTCTTTACCTTTTAAGCATCCTGTGATCCCAAAGAGGAAACGTAGACTGAACGTTCATAACAGTCCAGTTTCTGGATCAGAGATATGCAGAAGGGGGCCCTTGCTGGGTATTGCTATCACTCTAGTTGTAGGGTTAGACAGGTCTTCACATGTTAAACTTGTGAATGCGACAGAGATAACTTGTTTAAAGTGACTTTTAGAAACTAAGCTATTAGTATTTTACCAAGTCTATCAATTGAGTACAGTTTACTTTTTGCCCATCTATAAATTTGTATGGAGTATTTTTGATGTCATTTGCACTAAAGGGAATTTGTATGTTGTGGATCTATCAGGCAATAATTTATTAAATTCTCTTTGAGGATATAAAGTCTGTTGATCAAAAATGTAGGTGGCATAAGACCCTAAAACCAGGCCCATAGTCAGCAGTTTAATAGTGGTGAGGGTTCTTTTTTCTGAAATACTGCACCTTTTACCATAAAACCTTCAAGCATCTGCATCAAGATTGGACCTTTTCCTGGTGAAAAGGACAGTTGGTTTAACCCCCCCCCCCCCCAAAAAAAAAAAAAAAAAAAAAAGCCACAGGGCAGCTAAAACCCTAGTTGCACCAGTTGCGGAATGGCAGTTATAGATAGCCTAATAGCATTTACTCTCAAAGGAGTTGAATGGAAGGCTAACTTTTCTTTGGTTCACTAGCTGAGAATGGTTTGATCATCACACTGCATCCAAATTTCTGAAACAGAAGGGATCTAAGGTCGATTCCAAAAATTGGTTGATATGACTGCATGAAAGTAATTTCACATTCCCCTATTCAAGGTGACGAGTTTATTTCCAAGATTCAGAGGCTCAGTGCTTGCATCATCAAGCTCGGGCAACTTCTCTTGATTGCTCTTATTAAAATGTTCTAAATTCAACTTATTTTATAACGTAGACTGAGTTGAAAGATGTTCTGAGTTGAAAATTATGAAAGTAACTTTATTTATTTATTTTATTTATCTTTTATATTTTCTCATTGTTTTCCATAGTTTGCTTATTGACTAGTTGTACCAAATTTCAGTCGACCTTGAGGTCATGGTATCTGAAAAAAATAAAAATGGCTATTCAGTTGAGGGTAATTTAGTTTGACCATTTCCATAAATAAATACCCTTGCCTTCTTAAGATGTGATCTGTTATTCCCAATACCTATAGTAAACAAACATGCATATGGGCATTTATACTTGTGTGTACATGCACTTGCACACAACACATTGACTGACTAATCAGGTTCTGTATACTAAAAATAATATCTCATCTGTCACTGAAAAAAAAATAACTCATTCATAAATTACCATACAGACTATGACTTTTCCTTCCTTAAGGAGGTTCTTTTTTCAATTTAAGAGATTAAAAAGGGTTCAAAAGCCTGCACATGGAGGGTGTTAAAGGAAGTGTAGTTTTCTTCTTGTCACCAATATTACTAGGAAAGGATTTTCCCAGAAACCAGAAAGAAAGTTGACATTAAATAATATTGATTGGTTTAATGATATAGAAACTGTTATTGAAGTGACACAAATTGCTTTTATTCCAAGTAATGAGGGCATTAAAAAAAAGACATAGTGTAATATTGTTTTTCTAGGTTTGTATGAAAGCGATAGTTTCTCAGAATCGTCACTTACTGTTAATTCCAAGTGAT